AACGCGGTGGACACAGCAGATAGCCCAATGTGGCTTTGCTCAAAAACAATAAACAAACAAATCCAATTGATAACATTTTCATCATAAAAAAAAACTTTCACTATCGACTAGAGTGGAATTTTAAATATGGCTGAAGACAAAAGAACAATTAAATTAATCGCTTTTACACTCGTTATACCACAACGTAGACATTGGTGAGTAGCCGAAGATTATATATTATGTGACTTTTGGGGGAGGGGACTGGTGAGAGGAGATATGTTATATATTAAAATCCCACCTGGCGAAAATTTAGTACAAGGACCGAAGCTTGTAAATTTGATTATTTTGATGAATTCTGTGCAAAGCTACTCGAGGACTATCTGAGGTAGCTGTCCCTACTTTTGAAGTGACTGACTAAAGGGAAGACAGCTAGGTAACATCACCCACCGTTGTGATGTTCTTGGCAGTTATTTTGATTTAAAAATAATTATCTCCTAAGAAATAATTACTAATCAAGGGTGCTCGAAGATTAGACAATCCTCCTCGTGGCATAAGGTTAAATTTCAATTAATCGTCAGCGGAATAATAAGCCGTATGGGCGAAGAAGAAGTAATACCGTTAATTCTTGGGCTACTCTTTATCAGCGAATAATGGGATTGATCGTCACAACGTAACGCTCCCCCTCCCCGTGTAAAAGGTCGAGCATGTTCGTTGACGGGATTTGAACTCTAGACAAGCAGATTAGAGTCGAGTGCTCTAACCACCAGGCCCAAAGCTTGTGAAGTAATAATAAAACTCGGATAAAGTTCATTGAAATATTTATTTAGCGTTTTATTATGCTTTGTGTATTACTGGCTGGGTTAAAGTTACGCTCAAGGTTTCGTAAATTAATTTACTATAATCGTGCCTAAAAGAAGTTTAATTTTAGGGTAGGCTGGTAGAGATCCTGATGAGCAATAAAATTGAGTTGGGTATGCGAGCGCCCCACGCTTGGTATTTCTGGAGCACACAAATATAGTTAATAAAAAGGAAAAAAAGGTCTCATAGTTGAATTTACACTAATCCTGCGTAAAGGAATTTCAAGTTCCGCGGCTACTGAGGATTCCCTCTTGTTTTATAGAAGAAGAACCGAAAAATAAAAGGCGTTGTATCGGTCAATAACACAAGGCAGAGAGAAAGGTGACGTAAATTCGCTCTTGTGGTATCTCGTACATTTCGAAATTGTATCTGACAGAAAAGTCGCCTCTGTAGCTTTTATGATAATTGTATTTCTGTATGTGGGAAGAGAGAAAGAGAAGTGGTATAGATGAAAATCAACGACTGCTTTAGAGAAAATGTAGAAATTGTCAGATATTGTTTACGATCCCAAAAGATGTGTTGACTAGTAGGGACAAAGATAAAATACACGTTCTTGATGCCAATGGTTGCGAAACTTCGACACTTTAAAACAAAGTTACTCCGTCATATTTTTTTTAAGAATCTGCGTACTTTTTTTAATTCAAATAATCATATAAAATAAAAATTAATGGTTTAAGTTTGATTTGACATAACCACCACCGACTTCTGTTAAAAACATCCAGATTACGTTTTTAAAGTAAAAAATAAACGTTATTCATAGCGGATGTAGTGGGTATTAAATGGAAAATTATCAAAAGGATTGTATTGTCCTATATAAAATTATATTGTTTTATTAAATTTCCCCTACAAATTATAACGAGGTTAGCATTTCAACTACCCCTGAAAATTCCCGAATAAACAATAAAAAAAATGTGTAAAATGACTTTTAAACTGCATAACTAAACTAATTAGACTGGCCTGGCATGGCCAGATGGTTAGGGCCCTTGACTCGCAATCTGAGGGGCGCGGGTTCGAATCCCTGTTCCACCAAACATGCTCGTCCTTTCAACCGTAGGGACGTTATATTGTGGCGGTCAATCCCACTATTTGTTGGTAAAAGAGTAGCCCAAGAGTTGTCGGTGGGTGGTGATGACTAGCTTCCTTCCCTTTCACTGCTAAATTAGGGACGGCTAGCGCAGATAGCTCTCGTGTAGCTTTGCGCGAAATTCCAAACAAACTAGTTAGATCAAGGAAGGTTTGTCCAATGATATATTTCAAAAGTAACACACGGAGTTCATATTGATAACTTAAACTCTATAATAATCAAAAGTACGAAGGTGGGTGTGAA